TGATTATTATTACTACTACTTTTATGAGGGGTAATAAGGAATTGGACAGCTAAAAGGGTTCTGGAAATGGGGGATGTGGTCATTCTGGGGCACGAGATGAGGACACAGAAGGGCACCTAGAACAAGTAGATGCATGGAGAGCGTGACATAGGGAAGGGCAAGTTGTTCACTGTAGATGAGCTTCCAGATGGAAGAAGAAAAGTTGAAGGGAGTGAGGGCACAACAGAGTGCGTGAATTGTGAGAATAGATTGGCATTTGGTTCTGAGAAGGACAGGGAGCTGGTAGACCGACGGCTGACATTCCATACAGAGCTTCTCTCTGATGGAAGTCCAGTCACGTTTCTGAAGGAGACACACGTGGGTTTGGTTGACCAGGGAGGAGTCTGTGCACGATTTCCGATGCAGGTTAAGGTTGTTGGACATGAACTGGTGAGAGTGGGTTTGAGGAGAACAGAAGGGATTTGGAAGTCAGGAAGTAGGATCGACAATGTTGGTGACTGATTTGGTATAAAAGGAGAAAAATAAGAAGAAATTAACTTGTGGAGCAAGGTTTCTGGCCATGACAAGTGTGTGCGTGGAAGAGCCAGCCATCATAAAAATGCTTCTAGAAAGTGGAATAGAGCTGGACTAAGATTCTTAGTTCAGTTTAAAACCTGATGCATGTTTTGGTCCGTTTGGGCTGCAAATTATCTTAGACTGGGTGGCTTGTCAAAGGCAGAAATGTACTGCTCACAATTCCAGAGGCTGAAAATCTAAGACCAGGGTGGCAGCACGGTCAGGTGAAGGCCCTCGCAGACATGTCCTTGAATTCTCATGTGGGGGCAGGGCCAGGGATCTCTCTGGAGCCTCTTTTATAGGCACTAATCCCATTCCCGATGGCCCAGCCCATCACCTTAAGTACCTCCCAGAGACCTTCTCATACTGTCTCCCAGGCAATAAGATTTGAACATACAAATTGTGGGGACACAAGCATTCAGACACTACCTGTGTGTTTAGCTATCTGTAGGAGCTAAGTTCTGTAGGTGTAGCAGACATGTCTGTCGGGTTATATTCCTGACAGCGGCTATTATGTCAGGCAGAGAACAACCATACCAACACTGTTCAGGGAAGGAATGATGTTTGATTGTGAAGGAAAGAGAGTGTTATGAATTTTTTGTGCATAAATAATAAACGTTCCCAAATAAGAATCTAGAAAAAAAGAAATAAGTGGGTTTGATGAGGGGGGCACAAAAAACAACTAATCACTAACTTAAAAAACACACACACAAAAAAAACCCTAAATTTTATATTGCCAAGAAAATAGTTTCTATTGCAAAGCCATTTGCAAAAATGTGTATTTTTATCTCCAGAGCTGAACAACATCATGTTTTGTAGATAGATTCATTTATTCATCTAGTCAAGAAGTGAGTGTCTGCTCTGGCCAGGACCTGCTCTCAAATTCTGTGAATCCCATAACGAAGAGAACACAGTTGATGCCCTTGCGGTGCTTACATTCTCATGGGATGAGATGAACATACATGTAGCAAATCATGTTGTGTGTCGTAAGCAATCAGTCCTGTGGAAAAATAATCAAGATGGGTAAGGAAGTAGGGAGTATCAAAAGCAGGACAAGGCTGGATGTTTTGTTTAGAGCAGTGAGGTTGCTGATAAGGTGTTCATTTAGGGGGCGCCCCGAGAAGGGTAACAGCAAGTCAGGTCACTGTGGGGATGAGAAGGCTGGTTGGTTCAGACAAAGGGGTCAGCAAATTCTCAAGTACAGTCAGGCCTTTCAGGTAAGAGAAACAGCCCTGATAGGATCTGAAGCCATAGAAGTGGCTCAGCGAGCAGCTCCTGTAAGGTTGTGACTACCCAACTCATAGCTGGTGGGCGGAGATGAAGCTAACAGCTAACATTTAACTTGTATACAGTAACCTATAAGCATGGGAAAGGATGCATAACCAAGTTAGAAAGCAAACAAAAATTAGAATAATTTGGTTTTGGCCTGATAAATGAACAAAACAGATGATGTATCATGATGGTGAAAATACAGGAAAATGGCCCATATTACATTCAGCTCAAGGGGAGTACACGTTTGGACAATTTTCCGAGCACTGGCCTACTTAGAAAATTTCAATTTTAATGCTTTGGGCCCCATCATTATAGTTCTGAGAGTTTATCCCAACAACATTATCAGGGAGAAACTTAAAGATATATTTATGAGGAAATTTTTATTATAAAACTGCATAAGATAATGACAAATATGGAAATCCCCTAACTTAGTAAAGTGCACTCTGGTACCTCAATTCAATAGACTATTAAGCAGCCATCAAATACGGAAGCTGTCTCTGGCAGAGACCGTGGAGAGCCCCAATATCTGTTTTTTCCCCTTTCATGATCGAAACTCCATGTTCTTAGCTAGCCATCCTTTGGCCACGTGGAACAAACACTTAACTTCTCCATTTCTGTGCTGCCCCGAGTTACTCTGTGACTCTGTGATGGTTCTTGGCTTTCAGGAAGGGAAGGGGCCCGAGTCTTCTGTGTCTTCTTCTTTCTTGCTGGCCAGAGGGCTGCACTTGGGGTGCCAGTAAGAGCTGCGTCTCTGACCAAGACGGGATCTCTGAGATATAAGGTGCTCAATGAGGAGGACAGAGGGACAGCCTGAGGACTCTCCCTGCCCCCCAGTCAGTCCTGGATGGCTTCCCCCTGCCCACACCCTACCGCCCCTCACTCCCCCACCGGCTCTCACTCTTTGCCTTACTCATCAGAATCCTCAGCAGTTATTTTGAAAAAAAGAAAAGTGCAGGTCATAGAGTATCATACATGGTTATGTTTCTAAATGCATCTGTAAGATTGTGTATGTAGGGGGAGAGAGAGAGGCACCAGGATGGAGGAAAGAGAACATAAATCATTTCACAGAACACATGGTTTTACACTTCCCTCTTTATAACTCTCAATTCTAAAGGGATATTGTTACATCATTGTATTGTTCTCAAGATTAAAACAAAGTAAAGCTTTTTTTTTTTAGTGCTTGTGTAAATTGGCCTTCATTTGCAGTTTGAATGTTAAAATAATGAATACATAGATGCAGATATACATTGGTAATTTTTTAAAAAGATATTCAATTTCAATATATCAACATTCTGATAGTTTTTTAAATATTACCACTTAGGAATAAATTCACAGTGTCCTTTATATATGTTTTTAGGTGAACTTATAAGTGGCATAGATATTTAAACTTGTTAGATCTTCTTGTTGGACAGATCCTTTGATTATGATATAGTGTCCTTCCTCATATTATAGTCTTTGGCTTAAAATCTAATTGATCTGATATAAGGATTGCCACTCTTGCTTTCTTCTGATGTCCATTAGCATGGTAAATTGTTTCCACCCCCTCACTTTAAATCTGGAGGTGTCTTCAGGTCTGAAATGAGTTTCTTGTAGACAACATATAGATGGGTTTTGTTTTTTTATCCATTCTGATACCCTGTGTCTTTTGATTGGGGCATTTAGCCCATTAACATTCAGGGTGAGTATTGAGAGATATGAATTTAGTGCCATTGTATTGCCTGTAAGGTGACTGTTATTGTATATTGTTTCTGTTCCTTTCTGATCTACTACTTTTAGGGTCTCTCTTTGCTTAGAGGACCCCTTTCAATATTTCCTGTAGAGCTGGTTTGGTGTTTGCAAATTCTTTCAGTTTTTGTTTGTCCTGGAAGCTTTTACTCTCTCCTTCTATTTTCAATGATAGCCTAGTTGGGTATAGTATTCTTGGCTGCATGTTTTTCTCGTTTAGTACTCTGAATATATCATGCCAGCTCTTTCTGGCCTGCCAGGTCTCTGTGGATAAGTCCGCTGCCAATCTAATATTTTTACCGTTGTATGTTACAGACTTTTGTCCCGAGCTGCTTTCAGGATTTTCTCTTTGTCACTAAGACTTGTAATTTTACTATTAGGTGACAGGGTGTGGACCTATTCTTATTGATTTTGAGGGGGGTTCTCTGCACCTCCTGGATTTTGATGCTTTTTCCCTTTGCCATATTAGGGAAATTCTCTCCAATAATTCTCTCCAATATACCTTCTGCTCCCCTCTCTGTTTCCTCTTCTTCTGGAGT